GTATGCCTGGCATTTAACTGAAGATTTTGTTCTGCTTTTTAAACTTGACTTGCCAGTTGGTTTTTTTCTTGCAGGTCGTCTCCTTAGGTTTTACAAGGCTGCTTAGTGTTAATGTTGGCCTGGGCAAGCAGCGAATATAGTTACTTAGTGCTAGGCTTAGAGCAGCCTGTGTTGTTTGTAATCATTGTATTCAGAAGTTTAACAAATGCGTAGGCTAATTAAAAAATTCGAGTTGATTAAGTCACCTAACTCATTCTGAGCAGTCAAGCAGGAAGTTTACAGCTAGAAAGTGTCAAAAACAAACTGTTGTTCATTGCTAGTATTGTGCAAAATACAGATTTTTTATTAATACAGCCGAATGGATTTTTTTATTCATTTGTTGAGTGTAGCATGAATACCTAAGTGCAAATTTAATTATAAATGTATTGCGAGATATGCATATTATTGCTACAGTCACTGTTTTTGATCACTTTTATCGGGCGAAATGTTAGCACGTGTCACAATTCTAAGCCAATTAATTTTCATCCCTACACAGTACGATAGCCAATGAGAGCAATCTCCGAACTGAATTTCTCCAAGCACTTGACCAATCGATCGAGTTTCCGAGCCAAACAAAACTGTTATGGCGATTGGTTCCTGAAGTGTTGGGAGAGTTGAACGCGCGGTCTGCGTGGAAAGTAGAATGAGGCGTAACCTCAGACATACGTTCCGAAACCTTACCCCAAAGTTACTCTCCAAGTTACTTCGAACCAACATTCGCCCCCCTGCTTTTTTCGGATGAAGGAAGGGGGGTGAAGGAAGGGGGGGTGAAGGAAGGAGGGTGAAGGAAGGGGGGGTGAAGGAAGGGGGGGTGAAAGAAGGGGGGGTGAAGGAAAAGGGGGTGAAGGAAGGGGGGGTGAAGGAAGGGGGGGTGAAGGAAGGGGGGGTGAAGGAAGGGGGGGTGAAGGAAGGGGGGGTGAAGGAAGGGGGGATGAAGGGAAGGGGGGTGAAGGAAGGGGGGTGAATGAAGGGGGGGTGAAGGGAAGGGGGGTGAAGGAAGGGGGGTGAAGGAAGGGGCTGAACTTCCTACATTTCCCCCGTTTCCTATCTCCCGTCGCTTACCCCTTTCCCCAATTTCGCGACTCTCCCCTGTTGAATCCACGTGGGCCGATTGGAATGGCAGGGCTAGCGATGTGCGTGCGCAGGCATCACCACGGCACGATGTCAAGCCAAGCCGGGTGATCACCGCGCCGTGCCTCACCGGAATGGTGCCTCGCTCCCGCCGCTGCGCCACCACCATCGGCGCCGCTGCCGGGAACGTAATGATCAGCCCTCAGCTGTTCACATGGCTCTTACCCTTGCGCACCGTTCCCTCCTCTTCCTACACCCCCTCCCTCTCCACCTCCCTCACCTTCCCCCCTCACCAGCACGGGCGCTCGTCCCCAGGGCGCAGGCACACTGACTACCTGGGCAACCTGCCTGCGGATCACAAGCAGGTCAGTCTTGGGTCACTCTAAATCTCAGGTCACTTGTGACTCACGCTCGTGTCATTTTCATGTCATTGTCGGTATTGCATGCCCTGCGAATGCTGTGATGTTATCCAAAGTGGCATCGCAGGACTAACGGGGACCTATATTATGCATCACCGCTCCCTCCTGGCTTCTACGGTTTCCCCTCTTCTTCTGGTCACCCTCCAGGTGTGCATGTTAACTGTCACTCCGTATCAATGTCCCCCATTCCCATCCCCTGTCCCATCCCGTCCCATCCCCTGTCCCATCCCCTCTCCTCTCCCCCATCGTCGTCCGCTTCAACATCCCCATCCCCATCACCATCACCATCCTTTTCCGCGTCCCAGGTGAGCATGGTGCAACCAGTAGCCTGCATCACTCTCCCCTCGCCAGGTGTGCACAGGGCAGCAGCCAGTATATCTCCAGCTCCCCGCCAGCTCTGCACTGCACCTGCGTCTCCAACACACATGTCTGCCCCACTGCGCTGCACCTGCACGGACTCGGACCCCACAGGCGGACTCACTGTTCACTAAGACACCATCCCGTCCCTTCCCATACCCTCTCCCTCCTCACCCTCCTTCCCCAACCCTTTCAGATGCGCCCCTCCCTCTACCAGCTATGCCTGCGCTGATTCCTGCCCCTGCATCATGGGCCACTGTTCACGGGAAACCCGCGGGCTACTGAGGCTGCGCACAGTTCCAAGTCCTGCATTTGCGCCTCAATTCACATCACAGGGAACGTGCACATTGTTCACTCTTTGTCAGGGCTGCAACACACCTCACCTTCAACACCCATTACCCCGACACACGGACGTACGACACTGTTTCCCACACCTCTCTAATAAGCCACTATGGTGTTTACCCTTTCTCTTCTTCTCCCCTCCGTGCCCTCCACCTGCTTCTCCCACACCAAATTCTGCCCCACCAACTTCCAACCCCACCCGTATGGCACGGGAGCGCTGTTCAACCCAACAGCAGCATGGTAGAGGCAGGTCGGTGGCAGGTAAGTGGCGGGTCGGTGGCAGGTAAGTGGCGGGTCGGTGGCAGGTAAGTGGCGGGTTGGTGGCAGGTAAGTGGCGGGTCGGTGGCAGGTAAGTGGCGGGTCGGTGGCAGGTAAGTGGCGGGTCGGTGGCAGGTAAGTGGCGGGTCGGTGGCAGGTAAGTGGCGGGTCGGTGGCAGGTAAGTGGCGGGTCGGTGGCAGGTAAGTGGCGGGTCGGTGGCAGGTAAGTGGCGGGTCGGTGGCAGGTTAGTGGCGGGTCGGTGGCAGTTAAGTGGCGGGTCGGTGGCAGGTAAGTGGCGGGTCCGTGGCAGGTAAGTGGCGGGTCGGTGGCAGGTAAGTGGCGGGTCGGTGGCAGGTTAGTGGCGGGTCGGTGGCAGGTTAGTGGCGGGTCGGTGGCAGGTTAGTGGCGGGTCGGTGGCAGGTCGGTGGCGGGTCGGTGGCAGGTCGGTGGCGGGTCGGTGGCGGGCTGTTGAATCTTCGTCACCAATCGCGCTGCCCTCTCTGGCTGGCCACTAATGCTGCTCTCCTCTTCCTCCTACATTATTCCCTCTTCCCCAATCCATCTAAGCACCCATCATATATGCACAGTGCAGGCTGTCAGCCGTATCTCCCTCACCAGCCTCACCGGCCTTCTCGCTGGCCACTCATTCTGCTCTCCCTCTCCCTCCTCGCATGCCTCACCTCCCCTGCCTTCAACCCCCAATTCTCCCAGCACATCATAGAATATCGATACTGCATCCACCTCTTCGCACTTCAGTGCTTATGGCATTAGAATCTAGACTCCAATCCGTGGCCCGCCGAAGCCATGAATGAATTATGCCGATACTTCAGAGTCAGCTGTGCACCACGATGCATGAGCCGTGACACACAAGTGGGGAACTTCAGCCATGCACCATGATGCGTGAGTTGCTACCGCTTGGGCCTCTCACCCTGTACGTTTGTCCATGTCATCGCTAATACAAGGAGAGGAGTTGGCATAGCATTGACATAGCATAGCATGGCATTGTAGATTACTTGCACACCCACCATCACCAATGCCATCTGTCTGCCCACTTCCCGCTTGCCATCTCGCTTGAAATGCAGGGGCATGATTGGAAATTATGGTCCATGAGCCATCAGCTGTGAGCCGTTAGCCATGAGCCATGGGCCATGATGCATGATGCATGAGCCTTGAGGCATGATGCATGAGCCATGAGGCATGACGCATGAGCCTTGAGGCATGATGCATGAGCCTTGAGGCATGGACCATGAGCCTTGAGGCATGATGCATGAGCCATGAGGCATGGACCATGATGTTTGGACATTGGTTGCCCAAGGCAATGCACTCCTCATCCCCTGCTTTGCAGTGTTCAATTGGACGAACCTGGTATGCATGACCTGTAGTTTAATGGGCAACAAGAAATCATTCAACAGCTACGTCGTCGAGACCATCGACTCCCGCCCTCATCTCATCACTGATTAGCTCTCACATCTCTCATACTCCGCTGTGCTCTTTACCCTCACACCCCTCTCTCGTCCCTCACCTCCCTTCCCCCCTCAGCTCTGCACGTGCTGCTCTCAGACCCACTTGTGGCGCAACAGTGCGCCCTCTTTCAACTTTCTTCCCCTGCTTGCAATTCACCATGTGCCTCCCCACCTCAGGTCCTCTGCCAGCCATCACCCTCTCATCTGCACCTCCACCATCTCACCCAAACAGCAGCACCATAGGACAGCAGCCAGCCATCATTCTCCTATCCGACCTTCAGGCAGCACCTCTCCCTTCCTCCCACACTACCTACCCCAGAACCGCCTGCTGACACCCATCTGCCACATGCAATCGCACCTTCAGGTACCACATTTCCCTCACTCCCACAACAATTTGATATGCTGTCACCCCATGCCCCCTCCATCCATACCCTTATCGCCCTACTGTGGTGCACATATATTTGTCCTCCCGCACTCCCGCTCTCTCCTCCTCTTCCCCATCCTCATACTCACCGCCCCTCCCCGCTCTCCATCCCCCCTTTCTCCTCTCCCCCTCCCCCCACTCCATGGTGGATGGTTGATGGTGGCAGCAGAGTGGCACCACACTCCAATCGACGTCCAAAGCCTCTTTCTCTCACCCATACCGCCCCAATGCAAATAAAAAAAGTGTGTGTGGTCAGAGGATTGCGTGGGAATGTGAACATAGTGGATCAGGATAACAGAGGGGAGCAGGGGAATGAGGACATAGGGCAGAGCAAGGGAATGAGGACATAAAGCAGCAGTACCGGGAGGCGCAACAAGGGCATAAAGACTGAACAACCCTACAAGCTTTTTTATATGATTTCTTCTTGTAATGTTGAGAAGTTGAAGTTCTCACTCTAGCACATGTGAAATGGTGAAGGTCCATGTTAGAACTGGAATGACATAGGTAATAACAATATTGGTAATATACAGTACCGTACCTTATTTACATGGACATTGATGCTACACATGCATTTATTTTTACCAGACTCCCTTGAACGGATTCACAATTTCTAGCTACTTGGAAATTCAAATGACAGCAGCAGTCTGGCACTCGGTGGTGTTGGTCAAGGAGTAGCTGTTGCCATTGCTGAAGCGCAGCTCCTGCGCGCAGGGGCGGAAGTCCCCCGTCCACGCATACACAATGTTCACCGTCTCTCCTGGGAACATCTGCACATCGCCGTTAGCGCCACGGTTCATGTGCATCTCACAGTACCCCGGCGTGGTCTGCACAAAGATGTAGCCCGTTTGGTACTGCGAGGGGTTGGGATCGGGGTTGTCGAGGATGCCCTCCCACACGTTGCCGAAGTTGAAGTACTGCCACACGCGCAGCGGGCTGGTGACATTGTAGGCGCAGCCGTTGTAGAAGGTCATGTTGTAGATGTCGTTGTGCAGGTCGTACGGCCCCAGGTACTGCGAGCGGATCGTCACCGTCGTGCGCCCACACGCTGCAAGGATAAGGTGGAGGTTGAAAGGGAGGAAGAACAAACAGAATTACAATAGCATCAACACTGGAATAAATGGAAGGGGGGGATGGTAAGGGGAGGGGAGGGTAAGGGGAGGAAAATGGCCAGAGAAATGAGAGGCAAGGGGAGCAGAAGAACAAGGGGAGCAGAGGTGGCAGAGGGAAGAAGGGGAGCAGCAATGCAAAGCAATCAAGATGAGAACCAGAAGAGGGAGCAGCGCTGCGTACAGGTGGCGAGGGCCTGGCGACGGGGGATGTGTTCAAGGTATTCGGGCAGAGCGGTGTGGTGAGCGAAGGTCTCAGCGGCCAGAATGCGCCCACCCTCCCCTGGGACCAGCGCCCTTATCACAACCCGCGCTCCACTCACCGTCGCCGCCAGCAGCCTCACCGCCAGCGCTGCCAGCACCAGCACGCGCATCCCATCCGCCGCCATGAGGAATTGCACAGAGGTGGCTGCTGAGTAGGCTCAGGAATCTGACGTGACTCAGAGTTCGGCTTGCACAGGATCTGGAAAGAGCTGAAAGGCTGCTGTGCTGCAAAGGTTGCTGCGAACTGAATCTTAATGTAGAGATGAGAGGGAAGAGGCGGATTGGAGCTGATGATTCCATGGCTGCACATGGCGCCGGCTTTATAGGCGGAGGTGAGGGACGCATTGGAGAGGAGGTGGCTAAGGTTTAGCGTCTCGTTGAGTGGGTGAGAAAGGGAAGATTCTCAGAAGGCTACGCGATCACAGGAGGAGGCGAGAAAGTCCCGCCCTGAGGGCGACGAGTGATGCAAAAACGTTTGCATCACGATCATCGTTATGGATGCCGTCGCCGCTGCGGCGATGACTATGACTCGGAGTCATCGCCCCAAAAACTCTCATTGACCGCAGCGGTGTAGAGTTCTTGAGACAAGTCAAGCGTCGCTGAAGCGGACCGCGTCAATCGGGCTACACCAAGATCATCGCGTCTCGTTTACGTGTCTCCGTATCGATATGACCTCACACGTGATCCACGTGTCCTCGTCTCACTGCCTTCCTATGGCGCCAAATTTCGAATGAACGGAGCTGCACGCGCATTTCGCGTGTGCGAAGAGCCTCTTGACGGTACCGTTTGTCGCCTATCGACTGAACGCACGCAGCTAGAAGACAACCGACTAGGAAAGAAAGCACTCTAGACGGGCCAGGAACGTTCTGCCCTGGCTCTGCCCCTTTGAGCCAACGCTCTCACTGATAAAACCGAGGTTTCACCCAGATTGGCCCCTTCGGCTCCCGAGTCCCGACCATGTGGACCTGCTGAGTCGCTGACTCATCGACCAGTAACACAGCGACCCCGCTGACATGGCAAGCTTCCCCAGCGGAAACTGGCTGACGCAGTACAGGCCAGACACAGGCTGGCTGAGTGGCGAAAAATGTATATTTTTACGAGCTTGTCCGCGAAGTCGCCAACTCTCGCGTGCGACAGAAATGTTACGGTACAAATTCGTCTGTCCAACGACGCTTATGTCTTTCCGTACGTCTATACACTAATATTACTCCAAAAGCAAGGGTGAAGGGAGAAGCTAGAAGTGGACGAAAGGCTAGCCTCCATCTGGGCCAACCCAAGGACAGTTTCTCAGCCACCATAAGGCGAGACATTGGGGCTAAACATTGTCTTAGCCTCTCGAGCACAGTAACACCGACTGTCGTCATCGCTCGGATAGAAGATAATGTTGAATCACTCTATCCATCCATGGATGATCTGTTCTATTGAGAGATATTCTTGACTTGATTGAAGCCTTTCATATACGAAGAGTATACTTAAGGTACAAGCAAAGTGTTGGAAAGATACGTGACTGTTGAGGGGCCTGTTTCACAGAAAATCCACATCCTAATGTAAAAAAATCATTGCTACAGTAGCAGTTTAGACTTTTTGTCACAACGTGGAAAAAAAACGTAGGGCTGACAGAAAAAGTAGTCACATCCGCTGCGGGTCAACAATCACACAACAGATATATCTGATGTTCTGCCGGCCTACATCAACCAAGCCCTGTCTAGCCTTGCCTCCTGCCAACATGCTCCTTCCCACTAGCCCCCCTCTTGTTTCCCTCCCAGCCAAAGCGCCTGAGCACCCCATGGTCAATGGTGCTCCCATCAGGCAGGCCAAGAGACCCCAGCTGTGTTAGCGCCGTGAGCTGCTGCAGCCCATAGCCCCCCACCGCCCTTTGCACCAGACTCAGCACCTGCAGTCCAGTGAGCCGCCCCACATGCACCATGCCGGCGTCTGTAACCCCAGGTGGCAAATCGAGCGCACCAAGGTTGGTGAGTGCGGTGAGATGCTGCAGGCCTTGGTCTGTCACGCGGGCGTTAAGAGAGAGGACCTGGAGGTTGGTGAGCCGGCCTATATGCTGCATGCCAGCAGAGGTGACGGCTGGACAGCCACACAGAAACAGCTTCTGGAGCGATGGCAGCGCGGCCAAGTGCAGCAGGCCGGCATCAGTGACCCCACGAGGCACGATGAGCATGCTGAGGCGCGGCAGGCAGCCCAGCAGCGGCAGCGCATTGTCTACCATGCCACACCCGCCCAGGGATAGATCCTTCAGCCTAGTCAACCGGCCCACATGCAGCATAAAAGCCGGGGTGAGGTGGGCACAGAACCCCAGGGAGAGCATTGTGAGTGAGGTGAGCGCAGTCAGGGGCTGCAGATGGGCATCGTGAACACTCGTGTTGTCCAATGCGAGCGTGTCGAGACTGCTCGCTGTGGCAATGCCCTCGAAAGATACTGCCCCGCCCTGTGCAGTGCCGCAGAGGACAAGGCAGTTGAGGCTGGGGAGGGCGTAGAGGTGCTGAAGGCCCTGTGTGGTGAATCCAGAGGAGTGTGAGAGGTCGATGAAGGAGAGGTGCGTCATGCGAGCCACGTGCACCAGTACGGAGTCTGTTAGAGATGCCTCCTCACACGGCTCTAGCTTCGCCTCCTGCGATGCTGCCAGGATTTTTTGCGGAGGAGGATGTGCGGAGTGAGAGGGATGTGCGGAGTGAGAGGGATGTGCGGAGTGAGAGGGATGTGCGGGGTGAGAGGGATGTGCGGAGTGAGAGGGATGTGCGGGGTGAGAGGGATGTGCGGAGTGAGAGGGATGTTCGGAGTGAGAGGGATGTGCGGAGTGAGAGGGATGTGCGGGGTGAGAGGGATGTGCGGGGTGAGAGGGATGTGCGGGGTGAGAGGGATGTGCGGGGTGAGAGGGATGTGCGGAGTGAGAGGGATGTGTGGAGTGAGAGGGATGTGCGGGGTGAGAGGGATGTGCGGAGTGAGAGGGATGTGCGGGGTGAGAGGGATGTGCGGAGTGAGAGGGATGTGCGGGGTGAGAGGGATGTGCGGAGTGAGAGGGATGTGCGGAGTGAGAGGGATGTGCGGAGTGAGAGGGATGTGCGGAGTGAGAGGGATGTGCGGGGTGAGAGGGATGTGCGGAGTGAGAGGGATGTGCGGGGTGAGAGGGATGTGCGGAGTGAGAGGGATGTGCAGAGTGAGAGGGATGTGCGGGGTGAGAGGGATGTGCGGAGTGAGAGGGATGTGCGGAGTGAGAGGGATGTGCGGGGTGAGAGGGATGTGCGGGGTGAGAGGGATGTGCGGAGTGAGAGGGATGTGCGGAGTGAGAGGGATGTGCGGAGTGAGAGGGATGTGCGGGGTGAGAGGGATGTGCGGGGTGAGAGGGATGTGCGGGGTGAGAGGGATGTGCGGGGTGAGAGGGATGTGCGGGGTGAGAGGGATGTGCGGGGTGAGAGGGATGTGCGGAGTGAGAGGGATGTGCGGGGTGAGAGGGATGTGCGGGGTGAGAGGGATGTGCGGAGTGAGAGGGATGTGCGGGGTGAGAGGGATGTGCGGGGTGAGAGGGAGTGCCGGGTGAGAACGAAAGCCAAAGAGGAACAAGTTATGGACTTTACCCATGGTCCATGCATGCATGCACGCACGGTTCAGGCAATGTGAGCAGGAGATGGGACGAACCGACAGCAGCATCCAACAGTGCTCTCGCCACTCACGTGCCACATCGCCCTGCTATCGTCCTGCTCGCTGCCAATCACCGCCTTCACCACAGCCAGCTCTCTCTTCATGTCCGCCACCTCGCCCGTCAGCCGCTGCACGTCGCTCTTCCTCAGTGCTACTTCCCGCCGCAGCGCAGCCACCTCGTCCGCCACACTGTGTTTCAGCGCTGCCACCTCCTGCATGGATGCGATTTTGCGCTGCAGCGCTGCCAGCTCGCCCCTCACCACCTACAGCGCCCTCGTCGCTGCCTGCCCTGCCGCGCACGCCTCCTCGCATGCACCAGCCATGCCCCGCCCTCTCGCCACTTCTAAGTCCGAGTGCTCCTGCTCGCGTGAAGGCTTGTCACGGGTGGTGGTAGAGGTGTGTCACTGTCTGAGGGCGATACGAGAGAGGGGGGCGGTGGGGAGGACAGAGGGCGAGGGGGACAACAGGATAGCGTTACGGGGTGGAAGACGAGGCGAAGAGGGGAAGCAAGAAGCGTTAGTGGGACCAGTCACTCACATCACACCAATCACACAGATCATGCGGCAAAGCGCGCCGTCAGGTGAGGACGAGAAAGGCCTTGCACGGTGAGATGGGGAGCGTTAAGAACGTGAAGTGTGACGCGAAGGAGGAGCAGGGCGGAGGAATTTGGGAGACTTAGCACAAATCTTAAGTTAGCGCAAACAGAGCAATTCCTTAAGAGGCAAATGGGAGAAGCAGAGAGAGGGTACGGAAGCATAAGATGACTCAGACCCGTCGGCGAACGAAGGGAAAACTAACACAAATCTGGTGGCAAACGTAACAGCGGTTCGTTGAAAATATTGAGGATTGATAGTGAAACGGTTGAGGCACGCTGAACTGAAAAATGATGAGATGAATGGAAGACATCCACAGAAGAGAAGGGGCAGCTAGCCGAAGGCAGGGGCGGAAGAAAAGGAGCAGGGAACATATATGGTGGCACACAACTGAGAACAAGACAAATTGGAAGCGGGGCAGAACACATGGGCACACGAACAGGACGGGCGTGCGTACCTGGTGTATGGAGGTGGCAGGTGAGCCAGATGCAGCAGCAAGGTGCTCTATTAGGAGCAGCGCCTGTCGTCACAAATTGACAAGCTTTGCAGCTGAGCCCGAAATGGAGGGTGTGAAAAAGAAGATAAATTATACTTTACTTAGTCAAAGGGGGCATCTGGCAAGACAAGTTTAGACTTCAGAATATGTGGATGAACAAACTTGCTGGCTTCGCCTAATAAGAGGACGATCGAGAGCGAAAACCACGCATAGGAGGGACAAGGACGAGCGAGAAAAACCAAGGAGGGATTTCAAGCATGGCATTCATTTGCTGTGACACATATCCCTTAGACTCTGCGGAGAAAAGCGGTCGAGACAAAGGCCTCGTCCCGGTCCAATTACTTGGCTGAGGCAAAAGGGTATTGCATGTTAAGAGAATAAACCATGAGAGCCGACATACTGACCTCGTGAAGTGTGGCGAGCTAGAAACCGATGGCAATGTTGGAGGTAAAAGCGGAAAGCGAAATTTGGTGGCAGGAAAATGGACAGACAGAGTACAAGCAGGAATGGGGTGGTGGACGAGGAGAGGGAATGAACTGATAGGTGCACACTTTTAAGTATGGTGAGAAGTGGATAGAGGCATACATAATACTCAAAAATCCATAAGGAAGCACGCAGGGGGGGGGGGGGGGGGGTATCAACATATACCCACCTCACGGTAATATAGCAGAGCAACGATTTGGCGCGGGTGTAGCGTGAAACACAATTTGGCGGCAATAGGGAAGGAGCAGCTGAGGAGGTGGTGATTGTGGGTGGACGAAGGCACGAGGATGAGACGAAGGAGGCATGGGAGAGGGAGGAGAGAGATTTTTCGACTGCAAGAAACTAGGTGGCATGCCAAGAAGATTTCAGGTAGCTTCTTCGAATAAAATAATCACTCTGTGAGTCGAATGGCCAAGAAAGAGTAGTGAAAACGGAATGAACAAGCGCAAAAGCAGTGACAGAAGCAGCAGAAGCAGGAAGAGAAGGAGCAGATGGAGTAAGTTAAATAGGACATGGAATGGAAAGTAATTATGGAATAATAGAGGCAAGCTCAATAGAAAAGGAATGAGATGAATAGAAGGCATGCAAAGTTAGGAGTACTTGGACTAGGCAGGGGTGGAAGGGAAGGACCAGGACACATAGGAAGAGTGAGGCAGGGAAAGCATATGACACGGAGAGGCAGAACACGTGGGCACAAGAGAAGCAGCAATAGGACACAGATTGACAACGAGATGGCCTACCAGGTGTTTAGAGGCAGCAGCGAGATGACTAATAAGAGCGAGACACTTCAAAGCAGATAGGCCCACAAGCTCCGCAGCCGTGGGCGAAAGGGCGCACGGGAAGAGAGGCAGTCGACAGCAGTGGGAACTAGGAAAAGATGGCAGCACACGCTTCTCAGCAGGACGGTTGACAAGGTCCGCAGGCAGGCGAGAGAAAGGTTGGGAGAAATATCGCAAGAGGAAACGCAGAGGAAGTGTGTTGGTAAGAGGAATTCTGCATAAGTGGGAAAAACTAGATGCTCGCATTGCTGCAGAAAAGAGCGAGGGAGGGGGAATGAGCGAAGGAGGAGGAGGGAAGAACGAAGGAGGTAAGAGCGATGGAGAAGGAGGAAGCTTGAACGAGGGAGCACAGGAGGGAGGCACCATCGCAAAAACAGGGATGGTGGAGGGGTAGGTTTTGTTGCTCGAAGTTGCTCGAGTGAAAGTTACGACAGACCTACCTCAAAGCTGCTTTGAGCGTGGGCGCTTCGGGAATCGGTGGTATGATGAGTGCGTGAAATGGCGTGGTAGCGTTTCATTGAATTTCGATTCATACCTACGGCAAAGCTGCTGTGAGCGAAATAGTTCGGCTTCGATTCATTGCATCGCCCATTTCGCACAATCAATGGTTTGGGGTAGGTTTTTTCGTAGTTCGATACCCCGCTAAGAATTAGTAGTTACTTGTTTCTTTCAGCAGCTTTCCATCTACTACATCTAAATGTACTTTGTTAATAAGTCAACTTGCATTGTGGTTAATGGCTGTTTTTCTATAGTGTTTATTATTCTCAAAGGATTCCAAATTTATTATCTACCAAAGTAGTAAGAAATTTAAAGCCTCAATGTGAGTCGTATGATGGATGTAATAATCACACCTTGCGCCAGTACATTATTTTATATTTGATATTAGGGTGCATTCTCATCTTGACATTTGTGTCTCAACCCCTGATTTCCCGAGTCGTGTCTAGACGTCGTGCCGATTCAGACCAGCAAACGCACAAATAAGTGTCACGTGCTGCGTCGTTGTGCGAACGATCTCAAACCAGTTCTTATGGCAAGGGAACAGGATGCACTACCTGAATTTGTGAAGAAATAGTCCCAAAAATAGCGTCCAAATGTTGAAACGGTTTCATGTTGCGTACTGGCCTATCCTTGCACGGATTCAGGCCAGCAAACGCACAAACTAGCGTCACGTGCTTCGTATGTGCGCGAACGAGCTCAAACCAGTTTCTATGGGAAGGGAATGGGATGTACTACCTGGATTTGTGAAGAAATAGTGCTAAACATAACGTCCAAATGTTGAAACGGTGACATGTTGCGCACTGGCCTATTGTGAGAGTACGACGGCTTATGCCAGCTATGCTTGCTTGCCTTTAATTTATTATGCTATTTCTAGCATAGGATAATTATATGCATGCATGAATTGCTTGATTTCCTAGGCTAGGTGCTTTCCTACATTTTGTTATAGTTATAGCACCGAGCTAGGTTGCGTGCACCGAATTCTGGCTTTTCGGTTGACACCGAATTGCCTTCTACCGAATTCGGGAAGGATCTGTTCGGGACGCTTCGCGACCCTCAGAACCTTCGCGTAACACCTGGTTACTGGGCCTTGTGTCGAGCCTATATATAGCCTCGTGTTGTACCCAGGTGATCATTGAATTCAAACTCTCTTTTCTGAGCTCGATCCTAGATCCTCACACTTGGTAATCAGAGCCCGTTTACACGCGAAAGTTTTTCGACCGCTAAAACCGAGTCTTCAAAAACCGCGGGGGCGACGTAGTTAAACATCGATTTTGGGTACGTAAAACCGGTTCCGTGTTTTTCGCTCCCCCTCGTTTCGGTTTTTCGGACACGCAATGTCAGGCATGGAGGGCCAAGGCGACAACTATGCGACCACGAGCGACATCGCAAGCCTCCGCACTGACATGGAGCAGACGCATGCGGCACTACGATGACTCGAGGCCCTTCTGACACACCAACCAGGACTCGCCACCGCAGCAGCAGCGAATGCAGCTGCGAACGTAGCAGCGACAACACCCGCAGCAGTGGCGACACCGACATTTCACGGACCGATGGCACCACTGTCGCCGAACCTCGAAGCAGCACGACCGAGGCTCCCTGAAGCGTTCGATCCCAGCGCGAAGGGATCCGACGTCCGGCGATTCGTGGCAACCCTCGAAATTTACTTCGAGGCCATTGGCTGTTCGACCCCGCAACACGACGCAGCAAGAATTCGGCTCGCAGCGACACTGTTACGTGGACCGGCACTCGAATGGATTTATTACACTGACGTGGCCCGCGGGGAGAAAACGTGGCAGCAGTTTCGGGCAGACTTAATCGAGCGTTTCGAACCCATTAATACGACCTACATGGCGCGGCAGCAGATACACCGTCACAAGCAATACAGTAGTGTAGCACAGTACACGCAGCAGATGGAGCTCCTGTTCGATCGCATCACCGACCTGACCGAAGGCGAAAAAATCCAGGCGTACACAGAAGGGTTAAAATTGGAGATTCGCCGACAGGTCATCGCCGCGAATTACAACAGTTACCGCGACATCGTGCGTGCTGCCGAGCGATACAACGCATTGACTCGAGGTCAACCCGAAACACGACGCTTCACGCCGAACCGTACATTCGGCACAAAGCGATCGGCACCCCCCACGTTCGCCGAACCGATGGACATCGACAAATACGACGCGAAGCAGCAGCCGACAAAATGCGAATTTTGCGGCGCAGCAGGGCATCCGTTTTTGTCGTGCTACAAAATGAAAAAGGCACGTGCGGCACTGCAGGGCGGTAATAGTGGAGCACCCCCGAAGTCAAAAAACGGGAATCGCCAGTAGCCGCGGATCGACCTGGCGATCGCGTAAAGATCCGAAAAGCAGGAAAAGGCGACGACGTGGCGACTTCGGAGCGGGTGAAAAAAGGAGAAAATGATGGCGCGAATCCAAAACGTCACGACCGGCCAGCATCAGGGGAAATCGCCGAGGCAAATGGAGGCTCCGCGAAAAAAGACT